ACGTCGCGCGTGAAGTGCTTTCCCCTGAAAGACCTGAGGGATTGCACTTACGGCTTCAGCGATGTCTGTCGGGTCGGGGCGGAGGGAGCGTTCGGAAAAGTATACAGGGCCTCACTCCACGGGACGGAGGTCGCAATCAAGGTCATGATTGGCGAGCTGACGGACCCGAAGCGGAGGCAATTCATCTCAGAAGTTAACACTCTCAGCGGACTCAATCATGCCAACCTCATTTCCCTCGTCGGGTACTGTGTGGAGGGAGGGCATTGTGCCTTGGTGTACCCATTCTTCGGGGGCGGCAGCCTGCACGACCGATTGTTCCCCAAGCCAAGCTCGGAGCCGGGTGCAGACCCACCTCCAGAGGAGCGTCGGTGTGCCTTCCGGCCTCTAACCCTTCAGGAACGCATGAGCATCATCTTCCAGGTTGCCAAGGGCCTCTGCTACCTCCACGACGCGGCCAGACCGCCCATCATCCATAGGGACATCAAGAGCAACAACATTCTACTTGGTACTGGTTCGGGGGAGAGGCTCCACACCGTTGTGGCCGACTTTGGTCTAGCGTCCATAGGAGAGAGAGTGTTAGGGAGTGCGCGCGAGCATGTTGTCCTSACCTCTCACATCGGCGGAACCTTTGGGTACATGTCCCCAGAGTACATGCTKAAAGGTGAGCTGTCGGACAAGAACGACGTGTACTCCTTTGGGGTCCTCGTTCTGGAGGTGCTGACGGGTAAACAGGTCCTTGCACCAGCAGCTTCTGGGGTCGGATGGCAGACGCTCGTGGATTGGGTGAGGCCTTTCCTTCAAGTTGGAGATGATAATGGGCCCGTCGTCCGAAAGCAGGGTGTGGAGCTGCCCTACGCAATTCTTGATCCCTGTTTGAGGGAGCAAGCAGTGGAGTATCCTATCAGGCAGATGGTGATGGCCACTATCACATTGGCCTGGCAATGCGTGCAGTACGACTACAGATCGAGGCCAGCCATGAGGGACATCGTACAGTACATTCACAACTTGCTCGTGGAGGCAGGCTGGCAGCGCTTGACGGCGATGACAGATGTGTCGAGGCTTGTCAACTTGTCCGAACTTCCGGATGACGAAGGTGAGTTTCTGTGAGTCCCGAACGTGGTGTGCCTGTACAGATGCTACCCTCTCTTTCCCTTTCTGTTAACCATTTTGTTGAACCACCAGTACGTTTCCCTGCTCTGAAAACAGCGATACGCCTTGCATGCTGCCTCATCTAACGAGGGTTGGCCTCCAGAGCAAAATGGCGCCGCACACAATTCGTTTTTTTTTGGCACGCGGCGTTCCCAGCCCGGGAGAAAATTGCCTCGGACGTACCGGTGGGTTCGAAAACTGACGTCTACCGGATGTAGTTGGAAATGGAAGATTTATGCCGCGATATGCTTTCCTTGGAATATAATGAAAGGGGATTTAAAAAAAAAAGAAAAAAAAAAGGAAATGGAAGATTTTTGCTGTGTTTTTCGTGACCGTCTTTGTGTCTTGGGAGGGTGACGTCTACCACAGAATTTGCCAGTTTTAAAGAAATGGCTGGCACCTAAGCAGGAACCACCTGTGAATGGATGCATCGTGGACAACCGTCTAACAAACAGATGATAAGGGCYTTGGTGGAATTCAGCCCACCTYGCTGCACTACTCTCCACATGCACAAAAGACCAAAAATAAGGGCGTGTATCTTTCCACGTTGTAGGGGAGGATTCGTTCTCATTTTGCACATTTGGAGAGTAGTGCGGCGTCGCCCTAAGCTATGGTCACAGTGTTGATGTTCTTTGAACCTTAGAAAAGATTGTTTAACATTGTGTTTCAAATGCCATAATGCAAGCATAGCTCCGTCTAAGAATCAAGGGGATGTGTCATGCATGTTGCCCCCCACGGGCCCACTCTAATTGGTGATGGTCAGGGACTAGGGTGGGGTCCCCCGTGAGGGGGGGGCCTGCTTGTGCCGTACCTGAACGAACTCCTGAGTACCCAGTCTCCACTCCGCCCTCCCTCCCCCAGCCCTCTTCCCCCTTCCATTCTCGTTTGTTTTTCTTGTCTTTTCGACAACCGAGCGTAAAGATGTATGGGATCCAACAGCCGCATGAGACTTTCCT